ATCGAGTAAAATCAGTGGCGCGGTGGAGGGCGGGGGTCCTCACGGGGCTCCCCGACCCCCTTCCCCCTTGTTTCAACATTTTGATATTTTTGGACTCCTTTTTTCACTGATACATTTTCGCTGTTACATAATTTCTCGGCAGTATACATTCCCATCCTTTCATTATACAAATTCTTGCGCGAAGAACTTTGTGTCGTTCAACGGCCGTTCAACGGAAAATACCGTGTTTGACGCGTGATACACGGATGTGTCGGCGATGTAACATCCGCTGCAGTCTATACTTAGGTCTCTCACTGTTTGTGATGCAGAATGATATTATTCCTTATCAATATCAATAGCAGTTCTGATCGTTAATGCTACTTTTTGCTTGCTAATCGCTTTAAGCAAAAAAAAAAAATCATTGCTTAACGGTTGCTACGAAATGAAAAAAAAAATCTGCTGGCGCGCCCGTTTCTGGAATTCTTCCATTCTTGTGTATTTAGGGCTAAGATGGAGTAGCGCGAGTTGCTGTGGGATACTAAGACTGTAGACCTTAGCTCATCCAGTATCTCCGTTCATCTGGGACTTAAGTTGTACGGGATACATTAACAGCCATGTGGTTGCGAAGGGCGATTTCTACAGGTTACGTAATACTTTACTTTGAATGAAACTACATGCCCACAGACATGTTCACCTTGGCGGGCGAAATATTTGAAAATTAATTTCTCCCGTTTGATAAGAAGCGGCTGGGCAAGATGGACATTTTCAGTAAGAAGCTTTTGTTCTGTGTTGGATTGATTAGTAACACCAACAGAGAGAATAAATTGCTGCCAAGATGTGGTTCCTTTGTCACGTTCAAATTCTGGCATATGCGACAAAATACGATAAAATTCACTTGCGAATACGCGACTACCGTGTGCGAAGACGAATTCCCCAAAGAGAACCAGCGGTGCCAAGTTTCAGCAAAGGGTCTGAGACGGTCAGCTTGCCGGCTGAACAAATTGGCAGGCCAGCGTACCGGGGCGTCTGACGTGGTCCACGGCACGAATCAGGCATCAATTTATCGCCCTGTCGCGCTCATGCATCCCACATTGCACGCCATACGATATCATTCGGGTAAATTAAAAAGATGGAGAAAAAAATCCCTAAAAAGTCGGTAAAGGTTGCCCAGAAATTGTCATGGGTTCTTTGTTGGTTTAGCTCTCATGTACGACATCCCATGGGTGGCTGTCGTATGAAACAAAATGACTGCACTTTTAGTTCCATACCCTCTCATGTTTGATTTCATCACTTTGAAGTTGGTTAACTCTGTGCACTTCGGGCATTGCATCCTTGTTAGGTCTCTCGTTTTTGAGAAGGTGAATCGCTTATACTAATGACCTTTTCAATGACACATTAGACGCAAAAATCGGCAGGCGATAAGTTCTCCATCATTAACCTATTTCAGCCTTTGCAATTTGAGTGTGTTGTTACTCCAAACAGTTCGGAAGTAGGGTGAGACCTCCTCGGTGCAATCGTGTAGTTGCAACTTACTTTTTGCAGTTTCACGGTACACGTACGTTTACAATTTAACAAAAATTATTGTTGATTGCAGTGATGTGTGACATGGCGGTTTTTAACACCTGAGGGGCGCATAGCACTTCAGCGAAGCCGAGGGTGCTATATGCGCCCATGATACAGACCACGATAGAGACCATACAAATGGGTAGATTATAAAAGTAGGGAGTAAGTAATACATATCTATAAGGAAAGTTCCACAACGTTTCCTTCGTTATTGTATTTTGAATGTGTATGCCGACATGCAGAACCTGGCATGCATAATTCTTTTTCCTACATGCAGAATTTGTCTTATTCTGTATCACAAAGATCACATCGAAACAATTATTTGTAGATAATTCAGCTGCATTGGCATTTCTACAATTTAAATTAAATATTGCGTATTTAGAAAACTGGACAATGGAAGTTACATGTACAAAATGAAAATACATTGTAATCAGGAGTAGAACTGCAAACAAACGCTTTATTCTTTTTCATCTAAACGGAATACCTTAAATTGAATGTCACTCGTTAAATTCTTGACAAGCTGCGTTGAGAAAATCGTACAAAGACATCAATGCTAAATCTTTCATTTACAAAATGCAAAATACTGCAATAGCAAATGCCAAAAGCCTGAAAATATATTGCGTTCCCATAGGCCTAAATATGTTATGATCAGTATGGTGAGATTAAATATACAGAAATGTTTGAACAATTCAAGAAATAAAACAATCGTTTCAGCACAGTGAGCACACGAACACTACTATAGAATGCGCTATACAAAAGTATACCAATATATAGACACACACGCGCATTCATACAATTCCATAAGTACAAAGGCACACCTCTTGTTTACAATGACACATTGCTTCCCCAAAGTAGACAATGTTGTTTTTAATAACCCAGTTAAAATTTGGTCACAAATTTGCAACACCGCTTACATTATTTTGTAAAGCTGTGGTATTTTACTTTCTAGCCAAGAAATTCTGAGCATTAAGCCTCTGTACTAACGACGTCACACTTTGTTTACATGTGCACTTTCCTATGGAGCCAGTGGGGGTCCACGGTCCACTGAGCACCATAGGAAAGCACACACGTAAACAAAGTGTGTGAAGTACAGTGGCTTATTTCTGCCATGTGAGTGGTTTCCCAGGCAACTGTTGTGGTGATGGGGTTGTGATGGAGGAAGAAGTCTAACTTTGTTCTGAATCCAAGTTCAATCATTAAGCATAATAAGCAGGTCTATAAAAAGTGATTCAAATATGAAAGGGGTCCAGGAAACTTAAAGAGCTTTAAAATGAGGAAGAAAGTCAAAGGGAGGGTAACTGTTTGGGTGAGAAAGATAGATCAATCCTATAGTTTTTCCCCTTATTAATATTTTTTTAGTTCAGCCTTTTATGGCATTTCAACAGAAACTACTTCTCAATGAAACAGAAGTCCCCTTTGTGCCTACAACACTATAGGACTTGTTATTTAGATTGCATGAACATTTGTAGATTTCAAAGTCATTTACCGCCTGTCTTCCTCATAAAATTGTCTACATTTGTGTACTGTGCTTTTCCAAATCTGAATGTACACATGCACAGTTGAAATACCAAATTGGACTCCTCATCATGTAAGACAAATCCGGCTGCAGCCATTTTCTGCGGTGGCGCAAGGCTCGCGTGAGTCGCGCTCAGGTAGTAGGCACGCTCTCTGGGCTCCTTCAACCACTGATCTCTATATAAAGACTGGATAGCTAATACAGAGCCGCACAATGTACGAATTTGACGCCATATTGGTGAGACCGGCTGGTGATCTACAAAGGACAAGATGCCGTTTTTATAGACGGCATGATTTCTTTTGTAACGTCGCGGTTCACTTGACTTATATTTTGACCACCACCACTGACCAAGGTTAACTACAATTTTTCTAACGTCGTGGTTACTAAAATGCCGCAAATATAACTTTTTTCGGCGTTTTGAAATAATAATCACTACGGAAATGTGTCCCTTTTAGACCATCATAATATGTGTACGTGACCAAAATGCGCGTCAACTGTTGATACACCGCGCGCGTATTTACGCGTAGAACGTTCGTATTATACGCGGCCATCTTTGTGAGACCGGGGCGAATTGGTCAATATGTAAAGTCTACTGTGTGAATGTTGTATGCATATCCGCTATCCAGTCTTTATATAGAGATCAGTGCCTTCAACCAAAAGGAATGTGCGCGCGCCTAGTCTTTAAGAACGCATGCACCATGCGCGTGAGCGTGACACCACCGCAGTAAAAGCTTCTAAAACCCACTGCAGTAGAAATCCACAACATCCATTGTAAGAGTACATTACAAAACTGTTATAAGCTTACCCCCTTCCCCACTCACTCACTTCAAACTAACTGTCCACACTGACATATTATCAGGATACTTAACTATAATACATTCAAACATTTTAATCCACAGAAAAACCCAGGATTTTGTGCAAGACTCAATAAACATAGTAGTGACTTCTGAATTAGCTTGGGATGGGCCATATGTGGCACTGATATTGCTGGAACCATTAAAGTTGGACACGCTGTCAATGACTAGATGTACCAAGGGCCCAATTTCACGGCGCTGCTAAGCACACAAACAAAGTCTGGCTTACAAAAACAGGTTACCAGCCAAAACTCCATGTGATTTTCATAATAAGCAAACAAAATCACATGGAGTTTTGGCTGGTAACCTGCTTTTATAAGACAGACTTTTTGTGCTAAGCAACTTTTTGTACTTAGCAGCGCCGTGAAATTGGCCCAAGGCAACATGAACATTTCAATGTGCATATACTGTACTGTCAAGCTATAAGGATGCCTACAACACACAAGGTGGAGGACACACTTCATCTTAACACACTTCCTTTCGTTCTCCATATGTTTCATGCATAAATTGATAGATACCAGGGAAGCATCACTCCCACAGTGATTTAGGTTTACATTTACTTGTACAGTGTCACATCGGAATGTATAAGGTTACAGGATTCCAAACAACCAATTCATTGACTGTGAATTGGTTGAGGCTGACATATTGTCATCCGTCAGTGGCCGAGCGGATGACAATATATCAGCCTCAGAAGATTGTGGCTTCAAATCCTGAAAAACAACTGGAGATTTTGATGAACCAAATTCCACACTCAATATCAATTGAAATGTAAATTAAAGTCCTTAACAAAAAAAAATAAGGGTGAGTGTGTGGCCTAGTGGTTAGGGTTCGTGACTCTTGATCAGAGGGTCCGGGGCTCGAATCTAGCTGCTGGTCATATGTTGTGTCCTTGGGCAAGCCACTTCACCCCCACTTGCCCCTCTCCACCCAGGAGTATAAATGGGTACCAGCATTAGCTAAGGAGTAATGTGCGATGGACTAGCATCCCATCCAGGGGGAGTAGAAATATTCTCAGTCTTTTCATGCCACAGAAACCGGAGATAAACACCGGCCTGATGAGCCACATTGGCTCGCGACAGACTTTACTTAACTAATAAAAAAGTAGTTTAATACCTTTAGTACAAAACAACATCTGTAGCGATATTTTTCCGATTCATACAACTCATAATGTTTGCCACATTCAAGTGACGGACCTTTAAGTGTTGGGGTATGCGAAAGTTACTGGGAAGCCACATAAAGATATGAGAACATATCACAAGAGAATGCGTCCAATTTCAGGCTACATGGACATGTACTAATCACGAGTGCATCCATTTTGCATAAAACTGCTGAGCTTGATGTCTAGTGAAAAGTGACATACCATTTTAGCATTGTTTACAAGGTGGCTTTTTCCACACTGTGATTGATTTCAATAATACAAGCATGATACCTGCTCAATAGACTGCTTCTTGGGTCTACTGGATCAAGTATCATCATCCTTTACACAGCATACCTTTGTTCCACAGGGCTACGCATGAGCAGACCTCTTCTGCATACATTGCTATACTGAAGTCAAGATGTAATATCTGTCCAATATTTGAGTTTCACACCCCCCTTCCAAAAAAAGATATCCCTGTTTTAAATTCTGGTAGACTGGTTGCCCCCCCCCCCCCACCTCCTATCAGAATCAGGAATGTAGGGAGTAGGAACCAGACTACTTGTAGGAGGGATCTGTTTGTTTGTGTACAAAAGCAATTCAAAACTAGAGCGCGAACCTCCGCCAAGGCTAAACAATTCTCCGCCATATTGTCAGTATACCCAAAAGAAACACTAACTAACATAAATGGTGAAGAATCCTTTACAAGAAATCTGGATCCAGAACCAGATCCAGATCACTTCGATTTGTATTTGTACCAAGGACCACCCCTAAAAAGGTTTCCATGCAAATCCATCCATAACTTTGTGAGTTATCTTGTTTACAGACCAACCAACCACCCAACCAACAAACTAACCAATGCCGATGAAAACATACCTCAAAATAGAAAAATTGTTTCTTTAAAATAAAACACACAAATTGAACATTTGTTAAGCAGAAAAACAAATCTCATTTGTTGAAGAGCACAGGCAATTCAGGCTCATAAGATAGCCTAAACAAATAACTGCGGCATGCAAAGGGATTTTTATGCATATTACTCGATAAAATTCATGTTAAAAGGGTAACAAGTTTTCCCAGATATTGTCAGTGAGGCTTGTACGCCATTTCAGGCTGCAATAAAGAGTTGTGTTATTCATGCTGATATAACACATAACTCTTGACAATATCATGCAGAGGGATGCTGTATAATCCCATGAAATTACATGTAGGTGCTGGACTAGTTCATTAACAACTGCACAGTTAGTCTAGGGGCTAGACGTTGTCATGGTTTGATATGCGATAACCCGCCACCGCGAGAGGGCGTTATTACAACCAACCAATATCATCCACGAACCGTCAGTAACAACGTCTAGGCCAATTCCTAAAATTCCCCCCCCCCAAAAAAAAAAATGGGGGAAAATAGTGCACTTGCGACACTTCAGCAGGCAATTACGGTCCATTTTCAGTCCCACACATACTACACACAACAAAAGAGCTGACCAGTGAAGTTGCACAAAATTGCTAATTGACCTTTAATCAACATGCTATATTATAAATACAGTTTCAGGAATGATTATTCTTAGACAAGAATAAAATTACCCTTTTTATGGATGTATCATGTTTGTTTTTAATCACTTAATAAAACATGTAAAAACAAATGTACGGATGTAAACAATCAATGTGAGCTTCAAGTTAAAAAAAATGGCGGCCAATATTTCTTACATGCAGTACAGCACACAAAATACCATTGACACCTTTTTGAAAACCCAAATCATCACTCTATTTCAAGAATGAAAGAATATGGTTTTCACTAGACTTGACCAAGTCTGGGTTTCGCTTGGTCTGTGTGTATGTGTGCAGCATGCGCACACATACTTGTTCCATAGTTGTAGGGACTACATACGAGTTGTCCCATGGTACTATGGGGACCGAAGACACTGTGGGGACAGCAGAAAGTCCCCATAACTCGGTCCTAATTTGCCTTACAATAAAAACTTCCCCCCAACGCGGTGATGGCCCGCCCACCTGTACACATACATACACACTGCATGGTCAAGAATGTCAAAACCTGTTGCAGAATGTGTCGCACTCTTTAATACTTTGAAACCAGTAAGATGTGTCACAGCTTTTTGTGAAATTGGCCGCTGTAGCGATTTGATTTTGTTCCGGTTTCTTCAACAAACCTTGAAAGCCACTTGAACCAATGTGGAGGAGTTAATGTCATGATGAACCTCCACCAAAGAACTTGACTGCATCCTCCCAAGATGACTCAGGGAAACGCAACTCAAAGGATGTCCGTAATGGCATGTCTCGCTCTTTGTCTTTCTCTGTAATTACAAAAATTGACATGGAGAAGTCAATGGTGATCGACGTCTATCTTTATTTCATCTTGGAGTTAAAGATGAGAAGAAAAAAAATCATGATTTCAGGGCGGACACACTCAATAAGAATGAGATAACCAAACTCCTGAACCCAAAAGAGTGAATGAATAAGGCGGCTGATTATATGTGGTGGTGGGGTAAAGTTAATGTGCCAAAACTCCTTTTCCCTGTTGTCGGCTCCTCGTTTTCCAACCGAGGAGTCCTCGATTCGGTTTCTGTCCTCGATTCATCGATGATGTTGCACGTGTGTGTCCTCGATTTACACCATAAACATGCACATACATACATACACGCAGAAGGAATACGCTAGCGCAATATCCCCCTCCGGCTTCAGCCAGGGGGATAAAAAGAAACCAATAACCACGTCAACTTTTACTTTAGGCACTTTAATTTATCAAAAATCATCAAACAGTAAAGATTAAAGCTTGCTGCAACAAACAGAATTCCACAACTACAATAAACGATCATCTTTGGTTAACAACATCACATTTAATACTCCCCTCTGCATTGTTCCCTTTTTCTTTTTTCTTCTTCGTTATTTTGCCAAGCTACACTCTAACCCCTTGCTACACACACCAAAACAACAGCTCATCCCTTTAACAACATCAAAGGCTGATGTCGTTGATACAAACATGGCACCTGAACCTCAAGACAGTAGGTTTACCCTGCGCAATATCATCAACTTTGGCTGGAACTTTATCGGTCAATTGCCATGAGCCCCCTAATGGAATCTTGCATGACTTGATCTGTATCCAAAGCCCGCGACAAAGGCAAAATATGGAAGCAGTGAGGTACCGCGGTAAATACATCAAGCTAGCTACAAGGAGAAACACACATAACCACCACAGCCTAATGGAATACATGTACATAATTCCATGTGCTTCAGTAAGATGGATTCAGATAGCTATGGATTGTTGATCTCATCAGAAGACTGGAGTGAATAGTAGATAACAGATAGTACAGACCAAGAAGTACATTGTACATGTACATACACACAACACTTAACAGGTAATCAAGGATCAATATGACAGACTTCTCATTCACTTAACTTTCATTTTCATGATGGTGTCCCAGCTATGTTAACATATGGGGGGAAAATTAGTGGGTTTTTTTGGAGATATTCAATTTCTTCGCATAAAAAATGCAACAAAAAAGAATGGTAAAAGTCAAAAAAGGGACAAAAGTGAATACTTTGTCAATTTAGATCATGCGCGTCAATATTTTTTTAAAAACATTTTCAGTGGTAGCTACAACAGCGCCCTCTATTTACGCACTGCCTCAAATTTTCATGGGCAGCTCGACTCCAAATGATGGAGGGCACCAAGGTATATAAGGACACAAAAAGCAAAATAGTACCCACCCTGTCTTTACAATCCAAGCTTAAAAAAAAAAACACACAAAAACGCACCGCTCAGTCAAATCCGGAACTTTGGTCTGACCAGAGACTTACTATTTTTTTTTGGCCTAATATGAACACAGATTCTCCTAAACAACAATACACAATAGATTTCAAGAATGATGTACCGGTAGCAGCAGGATTATCAACATAGACGGCTAACAAAGAACACTCAAGCATGGCAAAAGCAGAAGTTAAAAATATAGCATTGCAAGCAAAGTTTATTTGTTGCTCAAATAGGACAATGGCATTTATTTTCCTTTCAAGGAAAATGACAATAATTTTGATTGAGATTATTTGTGCCCACGTTGCGCTACCATTGCCACATGTATGTAATCCTATGTCAAACAAGCAGTTCATCATGGGCACTGTTTGAGAACCATCAATAAGTTGTTCTCAATGAATGCTAACCTTTGAGGCAGGCACTGTTCCAGGACTACCAACATTAGTAATCCTATTTGAATGAACATGAGCTGACAAATGTATTAAAGAAAGGCGCTCTTTCCCCTTGGATGTGCCCGTTTGGGATCTAGATTACGTTTCCTAGAAAATCGACAGATCAATGAAAAATAGAATATATTATTTGACATAACTAAGCCTTGCTAACTTGCATTTTTTTCAAGAATTAGAATACAAAGCAATATTGAGACACAATTTTTGGTCCTCTAAATTGAGCCATTACAGAGATAGTTGGAATTCCAGCCACACATTTTCTTTCAGAACTTTGATGGAATGGCGTGTTCTGACATTGTTTAAAGTCTGTATTGAATTAATGTGGTCTTTGCACTCCTAACTCAATGACATTTTATAAAACAACAGATCCGAAGCTTTATCCTTCTTAAACAGCAGCTCTGATTTGTACGTACATGTATATGTACATGTAGCATGACATGTGATAGAGGGAACCCCCACACCCTCTTTTGTGTTGGTCATTGTGTTACCAGAATATCAGGAATTCTTTTGAGATATCTGGGGGGGGGGGATGTGTTAGGTAACAATAGTCTACGGTGTGTATAGGGCATTCCTTCATTTTTAAGGAGCGCGATCGCGCAGGCGATCCTACTGTGCTCCCCGACTGTCTCGAAGGAGCGCCAAAAATAGCGCTCCTCAAAAATCCAAAAGAGGGCTTATCAAACACGGGCAGTTTAAAAATAAGAAGTGATAAAAACGCAAAGGATTTATGCCAAAGATGGTACCCCTCTGTCACATATCATACTGGGTATAGATTTGATGGCTTTATTTGCTGCTGAACACGTACACACACACAGCCTTACCTTACCTACCTACTGTGGACATTCCTTTGTATTCGTGTAGTTAAGAAATACCGGAGAAAAAACTCATTCTACTCCCACTGTGAACACTCTTTCAACCCACATTTTTTATCATGATTTCCTTGAGTGTTCCTCTTCATTTGGCGACGCAGAACCCTAACCCAAAAATGCCTCTAAACTAAACCTGTTTTCCAGAGAGGGGGAACCTAGTGTGGACATGTGCAAGTCCACAAAGCATTCACACTTCCTGCATCCTGTGGACCTCTTTTGTTCACAGGTCCACAAAGAGTATGTAAGGTTAGAGCACACAGGCAGGGCAAACAAACAGGGTTTGTCACCATTGCCTCCAAAAATGTAAGACATCATGTGGGATTCCTTTCACCCAAACCTTTGGACTGCAGTAAGTAAACAATTTGAAACACTAAATGCAAGCAAAATGCCAACTAATTGGGATTATTTTCTTTATGTGGTATATGTACATCTATTTCACTCACACCTTCATATAATGTAAAGAGTGTAAAATATATACAACACCTGTGTGTATGTACACTTAACAAAATGATGTACATGTACGTGTATGTGTCCAGCAGAGGGCAGTGTACACCTTCAACAGTCGAGGGCTGCCTCTATATTATATGATGTATTTGCTTGTGCATGAATTGAGCTGTGTTTGTAGCCATTGATGTTATCATCCTTTGTGTGATCATCATTAGTCTATATTCACTACTGGTACACCTGTCAGCTTGAAATCCCTCGGCCCATCCTTCATTGGTTCTGTTGAACATTTCACAAACACTTCTATTTATTAGTCTGCCCTTGGCAATGTCAAACACTTAAAAGACAGCAGATTAGGCCGAGGTGAGGTTGACTTGCAACAATTGTGGGGAAGACTTGCAATTGTAAACGTAAAATCGAACCTCAACTGTGCTTCATACCAGCATGTCGCTACCCAGTGTTGCCTGGTTTTGTCCAAACAACTCGGACAAGAAATGAATAATTATTTCCCTTTATGGGAAGAAAATAAACGACTGTCCCCATTGTTGGGGTGGGCACGGTTAAGCCCAGGTTACAATATGGGTTCTGCTTTACTTGACACATTTGTGTCAGAACGTCTTGACACAATTTGGAAGCAATAGCATTTGTTTTGGCAGTTATTCCCTCATCACTGCTATACTATTACGCAACAAAGTGGAATGAGGCTGAGTAAGTTATGAGTGTGTTCAGGAGTTGATGACCAGGGAGGCAGGTGTCATCAGGTGGCAAAACTGCCTTCCCTACTACAATGCAGACAAGGCAAAGCCTCACTGCTGATAACTGTCACCAAATGGGGTTACAGGGTGCACTGAACTAATTCAAGCGAGAATTTCTACGCCAGCTGATTAGCATAAAAAGTGCCCCCACAATTTCTTTTGAAAACGGAGACCGTTTGGCTTTAAAAACGGTGGAATTGTTTAAATATACCCAAGGATCAACTCCCTGGTTTTGGGGCTTCCATCTGAGGGCAGGCTTAATAAAATCACGGATGAAAAAATGGGTCCTATTTGCCTGTGAAAGTGGAAGGATGCCACTTGTAAAATGGCTACATGCAGGCTCGGGAACTATCACTTTTCGGGAGGTGATTTTATTTGGGTGTGAATATTTAAAAATGTAATTGGCTAATGTATGTAAAATTGAAAAGAAATGAAAAGATGAAAGACAAGACAATAATTTAATTTTTGTTTCAGAAACCCCAGTGATGTTGGCTTGCATGTTACTTGGCCCTGAACTTTGTTGATTTTACACTGTTTTCAATGGGGCTTGAATTAGTACAGTGGACCCTTACATGTACATTGTATGTGCAAATGTGTGATGATCCAGAGGTGGAATAATGCGTTCCCACACAACTGTGCACTGCAGACAGCCCAATTGAAACCTGTACAGTTCCATGTCTCTATATGAACGTACGATGAAAACATGTATGTAGATAAAATCCTGTCTCATTTTGCAAATTGCACACATATATTAACAAATGAAATCCCAACATGCCCACAAAAAGGGTACACCAAACACACGATCTCCTGTTGGCTAGTACTTCTTTCTTATGTCATCACATTAGAAAATACAAAGGATGTTTCAGTCCAGGCAAGGCAACAGGAAACCAAGGTTGAGCCTGCATTTCAATTTGGGAAAACAGAACAATTAAGGTCAAACCAACAACCTCCATTGGACAAACTACATCCGATGGTTACGTTGTTTGATTTGTGTGCTGTGGTACATGAGTTTGGATCCTGACCGTGGGA